TTAAATGCATATTGAAGTGCATATGCAGTTAAAAGCGTGGCAATGCTTACTTTTTGCTAATTCCTGCTGCCACGCTTGGAGACGCGATCTCGAAGGCCATGGAAGGATGCTTTAGTGGCATCATCCATTTCCTCCAGAAGTTCAGGTTCCCTTATTCCCAGGTGACTGAAATCCACAAGGAGTATAGCCCAACAAAACGGGTCAGTTTTAACCTTGTAGAGAGAGCATTTGCGCAATGCAAACTTGTTGGGTGTTCCCAACAGCGTGTACCGACTTGTCAATGCCGGTGACGGTACACCGGTTAGCATACGCACGCAGCATATTACTGCCGTCCGGTTTCCTTTTGATCAAGCCTTGAATCAAGGAGTACATCTGCTTATTACGCTCCACGTTGTCCTCCGACGTGCCGTTACATGAAATCGAGGAAGGTTAGCCACTATTAGTCACTCATAATCGTTTCCATGTATCCAGCTATCTCGTCGTTGTATAACGCTGCAGAAACCGGTGAGGATGCTAGCAATGGTTGATGCTTTCTTGAAGCGCTGCAAAGCAAATAATTAACACGGAGTTAAGCTACCTGGCAACAGGCGATATAAGCGTTCCCGCCATGTTTATGTTTGGGTATTTTGAGACCATAAGATCTTGTTGGGCATCCACCACGTCAAGGTCCAGAGAATCGTGGACGAAATTGCTTTTTTCTTCATCACCCTTAAAGTGTAGTTTGCAGATCTAATGCGTGTTATCTCTTGCGCCTTTTATCGGGTAACGAGAAGGCAACTTCATCCACAATTATCCATCCTATCCTTGTGACCAAGAAGTTTCTGCATTACACTTTTGGATTGTATTGCCTCCGCCCAGGAATCTGAATTCATCATTGAAGTAACTGTAGAGAATGTTACCACACTGCATTAGTTTTTCGCAATCTATAATTGCATAATCACTCTGTTGAGGTATGCAACGCTTATGTCTTCAATATCAACATTATCCTTGAATGGGCATAGGTGATCCACTTGCTGTGCACGATGACAATCTGGTTGCGCCCTTTAACAACCGGCGGATAGGAAGTACCACCCAACGAAACCTTAGAAAATGAACTACTGGAATTTAGTTTATTTGAAGAGAAAAGCCTTCTTATTCATAGCAGCATTGCTTCAGTGCTTCCTGCTAATCAATTATTTAGTGCGGAGGTAAATACGACCATTATAACTTAGGAGCAGAAACACTTCCAAGAGCAGACAGTGAACAGGAATGCAGACCATCAAGAATGTCGGAGAGCAGTCAAACTACTTAGGACAATTTCTTTCCAGTGTAGTTGCCCGTGTCAGACGTTAATTGAAAAGTATGTGATAGAGGAATCACAGCCCCATAATTCTTGGCAGGGATGATGAAGCATTAGCAAGTGATCTCGTCTAGACCGATCCGAATGGCCTGAACATTTGAAGATCCTAATGTCACTTGAGGCAAACGGTTTGTCGAAGTGATCGCCGAAGTCCTTGCACATACGAAATTTCAATTTGTTGCCTGCTATTTCCGCCACCGAGCCTAGTTTTCCACTACATACGATTACATTATTAGGTCTATAGGATGTTATAGTTGTGCCCCAGTAATCAATTCTTTCTCTAGGTTGTTAATCATAACTGCTGTTGACATATTACAGGGTTCCTTGATAATAGTCATCTCTGTTGAGAAATGTATTCTCTCAACATACCGCTGAGCAGCTTGCTTAGCTACTACCCGTATCCTACGCATGTAAGATTCTAACGGAAATGCAGAAAAAGACTCTGATGGTCCGTGCTGACCAACGTCATTCGCAATATCCTAGACAGAATGAACATTACGCACCATTTGTTCCGATTCAAAAAGTCTTTCAAATTCTAAAAAAATTACGCAACTCCGTCTTATCCCTCCGCACAAAGGTTCGGTAGAACGTAACACGTGACAACAAGTAGGCAGCCAGATATAATCTGTGGAAGTTATCAGACTGCGGAGGCCAGCTTTCTTTCAAAATAACGGGGCCTACATACAGGAGAAATACGCGACCTTCTGTTGCCTTTCACTGTGCTACATCAGTCAGGCTGCGGCACCTCCTTGGGAAGCCACTAGGGTGCGGCTTTCACATTCCTTCAGCCTAAGGTCTATTTCATGGATGACATTGCTGTTCAAACGCAATTCCTTTTTCCTCCAGAAATCCAGCCACAGTGACACCAGTTATTTAACAACCCTCCCATCGGTTCCAATGGGAAGAGCTGTATCACGTCGTTAAGCAAACTTTCATAGCTGGACCCACCACGACGATGATGACATTGCGAAAGTTGTCATCAGTCCTCAAAGGATACGAACCATTCGGGAAGGTCATCTGAAAAGATTTCTTAGTCCCGGAAGCCATGCACATATCGTAGCCGGCCCTACTATTTTGCCCAATTACATACTTTACTTCCTATCTAGCTGGTAAACCACAGATTACTGAACTAACCTGTATGTGTTTGCCGAACTTACACGCATATATTCCCTCCACCAATAATAGGCGTAACCCAGCCATCAGGTCAGCAGAGATGTCACTGAAGTAAGGTGTCTTATGCTGTGCACCATCTATACCAATAAGGAAAACTTCAGTAACACGTGGACGACATAGTCTGCCTAATACAGGCCACGGATACCGACTAGGACTCTTTAAGATAGTCCATAGCAGTTCGACTGAAGTTCAACTTCGTTGAAGGTACTGAAACCTAGCCGCTGTTCTACATAACGGGGTACACTACCATTTGGATCAATACGGTAATATATTCCTTAGCCTATAACTTGCTTCACACGGAGAACACCTTCGTAATACACTTCGAACACTGCGAGGCAACTGAGGAAATACTTCGCGGAATATTTCCAAGATAACGTCACCATCGGTAGCGTTATGCTTCTTCGCAGCATAATACTCGTGACGATCTTCATCATCCGCTCGTGTCTACTTTCCGTATTGTCTCCCAGTGGAGCAGCAGGTACGGCAGTTTCTATGTGTTATGTATAAGAAGTAATGACAAACACTGCCATCGCCTGTTCAGTCAGGTCTACACGTTCTGCAGTTACACCTGGTCATCCATCAGTATCAAGCAGGGCAATTTCCTAGTTCCGGCAACCATTTCTATATCCAGAATGGATTATTTTATAAACCTCTCCGACTACTAAGAAATTGCTTCCTAAATTCGCTTACATCGTATGTAAAACGTAGACCGGTGACAACGCACGCGCTTCTGGAACAATACAGATCTCAATTCCACGACGAAGGATGGGTCCTCAAGTTCGGGATACTGTTAAATTATAGCATGAAACGCAATCTACGAGAAACACACGCTACTCACCTCCATTATACACGTTGAAATGATGCTTGGCACGATAGGTACCCTAGAAATACTGGCAGTGAACTTAAACAAACACATTCTTGCTGGATGAGTGACCGAATTTCGTTAACAAATGCAACCGCAAAATATTAAAAGGACATCTAATGGTCAGTAGCCTATATAATGTTTCCCTCAAACGTTTCCCTCAATGGTAATGGCAGCTGGCAACTACAAAGGCATGACAGCCAGAGCGAACGCCATTCTACACTTTCTGCGTAGACAGCTTGGCGCCCTCACTCCCGAACTCTTCCTCACCATTTGCAAATCCTACGTGCGGCCGCACCTAGAGGTCTTCAATACGGTGGCTCCTCCAACACTCAAGAGAGACTCTAATCTCCTTGAAAGAATACAAAGAACTGCAACAAAGTGTGTTGTGGGGCTAAGGGGAAAGACGTTTCCTGAAAGACTTAAACACCTCAATCTATTTACCTTGAGTTATCGCAGGAAGAGTGGTGACCTCATTGTGGCATACAAGATCGTCCATCAGGCAGACCATGCAAACAAATCAATTTTGCCTGCAACTCAACGATCTTCACGAGGAAACCCCATTAAGATGGCACACCAGAGAGCCAACACCATACTCAGGTCCAAATTTTTCTCCCTAAGAGTATGTGCTTTATGGAATGCCCTACCGCGACACATCGTTATAGCTCCCTCAGTCGACTCATTCAAGAGGCGATTAGACAGTTATGTCACCTCGTATGGACTACCACGGACGCACTCAGGTAGTCACCAACCTCAGTACCCCCAACTCCCTCCTAACTACAACTCACTATCTCCCTCCTTAACACACCCACATTACCTACTAATTTTTCTGTAGGAACCAAACCCACGCAACTATTCGCGCAATTCTCAAATACTTTTCTTTCGTTCTCATTTCTCTTTTCACCCCCCTTTTCTCCATCCCTTTTCTCCTCCCTATATCACTATCACTGTTTTTCCTCTTTTTTATTCTCTCTTCACTTCTTTACCACTACCTTACTATTTCCTTCCAGGTACCTACACAGACAGGAGTCATGGCAGTTCTCTAAACGTCCCAGCAACCCGTAGCTCCCTAATCACTCTACAAATTACAACCTACTAACCCACAAAACATCCACCTCACCGAAGCTAAAAGCAAGAAAGGAGAGGGGACTTCCTCGTCTGCTGCAGTAGTACACCGAACAACTCGTACCAAGCCCTAAGAACTAGATGCGAGAGATCAAAAACTACCAGTTTTCTACGCTCGCACTATCAATATTGGATATTGAGCTACGGTTTCCCTCTAAATGTCGCCTAATTGTTTGCTTTTCCCATTTCCCTCACTTTTTACGCCTTTTAAAAACAGCTCCCCCATAAAAGTCTATTTTCCCCAATATTTATCCTTTTTTTTCCATTTTCCCCATCACATTTTCCTTTTTTTGGCTGACTGGGGCCCGTTGGGTTAATCCGAAGCACAGCAGTCCAGTGGATAAACCTACTGTACCAGAATACACAAAAGACCTGAAACCGTTCCGCAAGACCTAGAAGCGAGCGCGAATAAGTCAATTGGTTTACACTAGCTGGTAAAAAGATACTGGATATTGGATATTGAATAGTGGTTACGTGGTACGATTGAGTTTATGAGTCAAGATGGGGAAGAGGTATCAGTAAGTTGTCCTTGGGTTTTCCTACTTCTTGTTGCACACCGAATCTACTTTCTAGTGAAGTTAAATCAAAAACTACACTAATTTAGTACGGAAAAGCTAGTCGAAGGTACTGGAAAGTCTGGTTGCAGTCTTGTCCAGTACTGATTGCCGTTGTCCATAGAATTCCTCGTTCTTCTCCTGATCTGCATTATTTGTTGGCACGTAGCATTGTATGGTTGTGACTTTCCTTTCCTTTAATTTGAATCTTGCTGTCATGATCCTGGAGGAGATTGGTTCCCATGCATGAGAGCCTTCAATGCTCTTCCAATATCCAATATCCAATATTGATAGTGCGAGCGTAGAAAACTAGTAGTTTTTGATCTCTCGCGTCTAGTTCTTAGGGCTTGGTTCCAGTTGTTCGGTTTACTCCTGCAGTGGACGAGGAAATCCCCTCTGCTTTCTTGCTTTTAGCTTCGGTGAGGTGGATGTTTTGTGGGTTAGTAGGTTGTAATTTGTAGAGTGATTAGGGAGCTACGGGTTGCTGGGAAGTTTAGAGAACTGCCATGACTCCTGTCTGTGTAGGTACCTGGAAGAGAATAGTAAGGTAGTGGTAAAGGAATGAAGAGAGAATAAAGAAGAGAGTGAAGTAGCACCATAGAGACTCTGGGAGCTGGGTTAAGGCCGTATCGCTAACCATCCTTGCCTTTAAACAGGAGTTTGCGTAGATAGCCACTCCCCCTCCTGCTCTATGTTCCCTGTCCCTGCGGAAGAGTTCCATGCCAGCAACACGCATCTCTTCGTCGGAGATGTCCGACGAGAGCCAGGATTCGGTGATGAATATGATGTCGGAGTGCTGATGTTCACGCAGCGTCCTCATTTTTGCTACCTTCCCTATTAGCCCCCTAACGTTGCTGTACATACATATTAGAGTGTACCTGATGAGAGGGGAGGTCTGGATGTGTATTTTCGCGGGATGAGCGCTTACGTGGTTGAATTTAGCCTCGCCAGTCCTCATAGGACTGGCATTGTTCCGTTTTTTTGTGTTTTGTTCTTAACTTGGGTGGGGGCTGTAGCAGTGGTGGCTTCTTTACTTGATGTATCTAACTCACTGGTCAGCGCCTGTGTGACGACCACTGACTCCAGAGGTCTTGGTGGTTGCCGTCTCTCCTCTTGCCTTGTGGGTCTAGGCTTACTTTCACATATACGTATTGAGCCACCCATGCGATCTTTCGCATTATACCATGCGTGCAGAACGTCTGTGAGGGAGGCATATGAGTCGAACTGGACGGCAAGTAGTCTGGGATTGGGTATGGTCTTCAGGTGCGCTGGCCTTGGCAGTCTACTGACGCTGTTGGCCGGTATACTGTTGAGACCAACTTTGGTTGAGAGCCATTGCCATTGTTGGACGTCGTGAAAGTACCGATCTTTGACCGAGCTGTCACTTGGCAATTCTGGAATCCCATGTACAACTATAGTGTTGTTTCTGTTGGGATTTCCAACCGCTGACTTTCTCTCCTCCTCTCTTACTGACCATGGCTTGTCAGGCCTGGCCCGAATTTTACAGGCATTAACAACGTCCGGTTGTCGTGAGAGGAGGAGTGTGTCTTCAGCCTCTTTGGCGGTATTTAGGGACACACGTAAAGGGGGGGCTTATCTCGGGGTGCATGGCTTCCTCGAGAAAGGCGACACAAAGTTGCAGGGAGGGGAGGGAGTCCCAGCATCTGACAGTAGTCGGTCCACATTCGGCTGTCAAATTGTTCCCTCTCGACCAACAATGAGTCTGTCGATACATCGACGTTGAACAAAATGATCGAGTTGGTCCTCCTGTGACCTGGGTTCGTTGTGGGTGGCACGCCCGACTTACCAATGGGTTTGAGTAATTCCACTGGTTGTTTCTCAGTCACGGTGTGTGGGGTGTTCGGAATGGGTTTCGTAGAGGCTTCGGCGGTCGATGTCTTTGGCCATGCGCTTGACGTCCCCTGGGGCCGGGTGGGGGTATGGAGACTTGACCTAATATGGTCCCCACGCGAGATGGCGTGCCCACAGCTGGAGCTCTAGGTCTGTTTCCAGGTCTCTCTGTGTTATCCTTTGGTGTTAACCCTACCTTATTCGGGGATGCTGGTAGCTTTTGCGTGGCGGAGAGCATCTCCTTCAGGCTTTCTGTGCGGAGTGCGGGCATTTTCCTGCACTCTGGACAGATGTACCAGAACCACTTGCATGGTTGTCTCTTCATCAGCTTATAGTATTGTCGGGGGACTTTGGTATCGCAGTGGCAATGCACCCATCGTTGACACAGGTTGCATGCAAATGCCTCATCGACTACCGAAACAACTTTGGTGCAAACACTGCAGCCATCGGGTGTCGTAATACAGCCTTCCTTCCATGAATAAGGTGCTACGGATTGTGGCGAACTGCTTGTGGCTGCCTTGTTCTGAAGCCTTTTACGTCGTCTTCTATGTTCAGGCATGGTATGATCCTTGCTCAAGATAGGACTAGTTTGTGACGGGTTAGTGCTACTCTGTGTCACCTGTCTGATGGCTACTGGAATTCTAGAAACATGGGTTGGCCACTTCTTCAGAAGTTCGATGTTCTGCCCTACCTCTGTTTGTCTTCTAGTACAGACTAGTGTGTTGTTTAGGGTGTTACTGGCCGTTGTTGTGCACGACCGCGTTATCCGTGTCAAAGCTTCAGACCTAGCGTTTTGGGCAGACATGTCGCTATGATATAAACTTCTTGGGAAAACAAGTAGTTAACAACAATAAGAGGGTTGAAGACTGAATGCAGGAAAAGGACAGAATAGAAAAGGGAAGATAATTTATGTTGGCTCACCTTCAGACACTTGTCACTTGATCCTCTGCTCTTGACCAACGAGTTTAACCGTAAGCTCCAGATGCGTATGTATAACCAGGGAAGATATTTCCTGGGGAATGACCTCCGAGGAGAACCGAGAGCTAAGGCAGTTTGGCAGCTGAAACGCCCAAGAACCACTGACAGGAGGTAGACCGGTTGGTTCAAAGGAATAATAATGCCAATTTTCAACTGTTGAGGAGTGAGCTGACGAATGCGCAGGGGTGAGGTGCGTGGACGGACAGAAGTGCTGCAAACGTTCTATGTTTTTAGATTGAGTATTGCAAGTGGGAGTTTTTCATTGTGGAAAAATCCAAAAGCTGAGAGACGAGCGAAACACGTCACTACTCAAGGAGCGCGCCATATCGGGACATCATGATAGGCACTCGAAAACTCAGTATGCTTGTGGTTATCTTCTGGGTGACAATATCGCAGTAGATTACTAACTCTCCAGCTGACAGTTTTTATTGAGAGAGAGAGAGAGAGGTGACGGATCGGCCAATTGGCTTTCACCAACCGTCTTTCCGATTCCAATGAGGAGTAAGTTTAATTTTATTTTCTATATTTCCTTTAGCAGTTGCATTGGTTTTACGGAGCAGAGTTGCTAGCCATATGCCTAACCTTCCCTCTTTAACCGGTCTTAGGACCGGTTAGTAACTAGTGGACTAGTTACAGGCGTGGTTTTTTTAGTGGCCATGTGTCAGCTATACAATAAAACAGCGGTCTGCAAAAAAGCACACTCGACCCTTAATGGTCAGTCGGACATCGTGCAGGTGCCATAAATGGCGTAAGCGCCAAGTTAGCTTTTGGTATTCTTGCAGAGATTTCTCCGGTGACTGATCCATCAGGGCTGATACGACTTCCTAGTTTAGTGAGTTGGTCAGAACGCTCAACCATTCTTCAAACTTCGTGTTGTAGAACTAGCGAACTGCGGTTCCTTGGGTTCTACGTCTGTCTTATTGGAATACGTTGAGTTTGGAATGGTCACAATTATCTTCCCGGTTCTGAAAAACCTGAAAGGATAGAGATACGATTAATTAATTAATCTGGTCTCAAATTAGTATTACTGCATTTGATCTGGGGAAAGCTTCTCGAGTATAGCCCATCGGTACCGTAGGACTCGAGGTGTGCGTCTAACCTCTTTTTCAAAGTGTCAGAGGATGATGCAGCTGAAGGGAGGGAGTCCCACAGTTTACAGGCTTTAATCGCAAATGAGTTAGCACTGATCTTTGAACGTCCTCTCTCATGCTCTATTCTTAACGGGTGACCCCTCAAGTCCCATTTCCGACTAAAGCTTAGAAGGGATCTGTTGGGATGGAGAGGATTATGGGCGGTGTGGTACATCATGATCATATCCCCTCTGATCCTCCGGTATTGTACTGGGTGCAGCTGAAGAGCAACTAAGCGGTCTGGGTACGGTTTGTGCCGTAACCCAATCACTTTCTTTGTAGCTCTTCTCTGTCCCCTTTCTAGGATGGCAATGTCCTTTTTCAAGTATGGGGACATTACAAGCGAATTTTTTTCTAAATGAGGACGAATGTACAAAGCATACACTGTGGTGAAAAAAGAAGGAGTTAGACACCCTAAGGTTCGCGAGAGAAACCCCAAGATTCCATTAGCCCTATTGGCTGCAAGGCGACAGTGAACAGAGGCTCCTAGCGTATCATTTAGTGTAACTTCCAGATCTTGTTCCATGTTAGAGTGACAGATATTTATTTCACCTAGAGAGTAAGAACGGGGACTGCCTTTATGTCTGTCAACTATCATAATTCGACACTTCTTCGAGTTGAGAGGAAGCAGGTTTTCTGTAGTCCAATTAAGGATTTTCGTAAGGTCTTCCTGGAAGATCGGAATATCCGTTGGTTCCAGTATTTCTCTCCAGATCTTCAGATCATCGGCATATAATAGTGAATGTGAATTAAGGACCCTTGGTAGGTCATTGATAAAAGCAAGAAACAGTAGTGGGCCTAGTATGGAACCTTGAGGCACACCACTCAGCATCGGGAACCAATCAGATAGAGAGCAGCTCTCACACTGACTGCACCCTGGTGTACAGATAATCTCTAAGTCAGATTAATAATTTTCCGTGTACACCTATGAGCTGGGGTTTCTCACAAAGGATATCATGATTTACCCTGTCAAAGGCCCTAGAAAAATCAAGTAAACCACTGTGT